AGACCATTTTGCAACAACAAAAGTTCAGTAAAATATTTAATTTTTGATGATTTCCATCTTTTGTTGCGGAGGTACCGGAACGACTGGATAGATATTGCCCATCACCTAACTCGATCTAAGTTTGATAAAAATATTACGATGCACCAAGTCTGAACCAAATCGGATACTCCCTTCGAGATTTACTGTGCGCAACAGCCAGTCAGACAAACAGACGGACGGGCGGATATAGCTAGATGGACTCCAAATGTCTTCAAATTATATATACCCTCTCTAGCCAAATGGCTGAGGGTATAGAAAGTATCAATAATTCAAGCCTAGAAAAAATCACGAAAAACTAAAAAAGCCGAAAACTCAATATTTAAGGAATTATGGCCATTTTAAAATGTACAATTACTCATGCTTTAAAAAATGATCACAAATAATAGCTAAAACCGCCGAAAACTCAATATTTAAGGAGTTATGGCCATTTTAAAATATTCACACAATATATGGACACAAATAATAGCTAAAAACGCCGAAACTCAATATTTAAGGAGTTATTACCATTTTAAAATATTCAATAATTCATGCTCTAGAAAAGTGATCAGAAATAATAGCTAAAAGCGCAGAAAACTCACTATTTAAGGAGTTATGGCCATTTTAAAATATTCAATAATTCATGCCTAGAAAAGTGATCACAAATAATAAGTAAAAACGCCGTAAACTCAATATCTTAGCAGTTATGGTCATTTTAAAATATTCAATAATTCAATAATGATTTTGTGATTTCTTTATATTTGGCTGGAAAACCACAAGTGGTTATCGTTAGAGCACTCCAGCATTTAAATGTGAATAAATCTTTTGTGTCTCGTACCATAGTTCGTTACCGTGATACTGGTAGCGTAGCCTGACGTACGGAAGAAAATCGCAACATCAGCAAAAATGGTTCGAAAAGTAAAGAAGGGACGCTGTGACCGAAAAATGGCTCGTGTGCTGAACATATCGCAATATCCCATTCGGCAAATATTGAAAAATGAGCTCGGGGTAAAACCATTAAAATTCCAAACAGTGCAAGAACTTAAACAGCAACAGAGAGAAAATACACTCAAAAGAGCTAAAGAGTGGATTCGCTTGGCCGAAAGTGGTGAACTGCTGAATTTGGTTTCCTCCGATGAGAAAACATTCGTTGTCAGCAGTTTGTAAACAAACAAAATGATCGTGTTTACTTGCCAAAAAGGTCAGCTGAAGATGTGGACCTTCGGCTGGCCACCAGAACTCAAGCGCTGGCCATGGTGATGGCGTGGGCCATCAGAACAAATGCCGAATATTATCGCGAAAATATTCTGGAGTATGTATTAAAGCCTTGGGTACGCAAAAATTTTGGCCACAGACCTTGGACATTCCAACAGGACAGGATTCCATCGCACTCAGCGCGCGCAACCCAAGAATGGTTACAAAATAAGGTTTCTCGCTTCATTTCTAGTGCCCAATGGCCACCAAAATCACCAGATACCAGTCCGTTGGACTATTGTATCTGGAGTTTTTTGGAAAGCAAGGTTGGCACTAAAAAATAACAAAGTGTCGACCACCTCAAGCAAGCGCTTGGCCAGGAATGGGCCAAAATACTGGAGAGCAACATTCGTGCAGTGTGTGACGGTTTCATAATTCGGCACAATTTTTATATAAGTACCTATTTATTATCTATAGAAAATTCTAAATAAAAATAAATATTCATGGCTAAAATCATAATAGATGTTCACCTACTGTCGATTCTTATTTTTTATGACATCTATAATAGCCCCATGTGTAAACTCAACTCAGTTTTTGGTATTGTAAAGAGCTTAGCAACATTTCCATTCAAATGAGCTGTAATTTGGAATTTGTATTTCCAAGGTTTAGAATACCGTGCTGCGTGGTATTTAGTTTTATCCACCTCATAATTGAGGGCAGAATGATTTCAGAATAGTCAAATATAATTACTCTTTTACACCCATTACCGTAAGATGGGAATTAATATTTTTGTCCTTTAAATTGTGCATTGGAGACCCCATAAAGTCCATATTTTTCAGCATGGTATAATTCGGTTCGTATTACTTTCTAATATTCGTAATATCTTTCATGTTGCTGCCACAATTTCCGGCTGAGTGAGTCCCAGTTTTACATTTCGGAGTTTATTTCATATAAACGTACATCCCACATCTACGTTCCCAACCAGTACTTTCTTGGAGGTAGATAGAATACAAAATGTGGTCAGACTTGGGGGTACACTAATGTGGGGACTATACTTAAACAAATGCTTATGTGGAAAATTATCTGTAAGATGGTTCTCTACACCAGGGTAGCCCAAATACGTTTTTATGCCAAATCAATTAATGAATATGGTCAATACCAATAGGTTTTCTACCCCTTAGGAACAAAGTTCCCAAATAAGAGCTAAAAAATTAAAAAAGTGACCAAGGCCCGTGTTCAGTTTTTGCAAGGATTGTTCCTTTACAAATTACCAAAGTATGAAAAATATGGTTAAAATGTAAAATATACTTGAAATCGGGTTGTACCCTTATCCGGGGGTTATGATCCATATCATGACCTGCAAAAGCGATTTAAGGTATCATGAAAGTTTATGAAGAATTTATGGAAGGATATTGTTTAAATGTGATCGCATCTTCTAGCTGAAGCACGATGTAGGTCCTGGAATTGAAAGCTAGATGCCTATTTTAGACATGAAAGATAGCCATTTAACATCCTATTGCGCACTCATTTCATTTTTTAATATTATTCATTCAGAACTCAAATAAAAAAATCTACGCTTCATTGTAGTATGTCAAATTAAAAAAAAAAATACGCCAAAATAATTTTTCATTCACATTTTTATTGGCATTATTTCACGCGATTTTTTGCCGTCAAGCCGTTTTTGAGTTCTGATCGTAGTAACTAATATAATTTTCTTTTATATGGTGAAAATAGTTCTTTATTTCCCCTTCTTAAATGATATTACTCGTATAGTTCCATTTACCCAATAAATACACATAATATGTAAATAACAGTTTTGTCCGTCGTCGCTTTGTACTACCCATGGTAGAAGAATACAGGTAGTCGCATCGACAATGAACTGTCAAACCAATTTTGGAATTGAAAATGTTGAATGAAAAATAATTGAAATTTGTCAAAATTTTTCAAAAATGCGTTTTATAACAAACACCGAAATGCGTGGTATACAAAAACATTTTAAAAATTACTTATTTTTGATAAAACATTTTAAAAATTTTGACATAACAATGTTCCCAAGCCTTGATCCATCTACCTATATTCTTCTACCATGGTACTACCCTAAATATACTACACACAAAGACATAGAAGTATGAAGATAGAACAAGATTCCCTGCAACCCTGTTGTTTTGATATCATAACAATATACTTACGCCAAGAAAATATGCACATTTTTGGAAAGGTCGGTGAAATAGAGTTTTGAAACCACTTTTTGGATTTTCAAACTTTTATTTGTCATTCGTTTCTGTAATTATGGTTTTTTAAATTAACATGTCTTTGTCATGAGCTGTTACTCTATCTATTGTAGACACAAGCCATTTACATCATATTAGAATTCAAAAAGAAAAGCAGTAAAGAAAGTCTTAAAGTCGGGCGGGGCCGACTTTATGATACCCTTCACCACTTTGCTAATTTAGTAGAGCTCCGATTAACAATTAAACGTTTTAATGGGAGAATTCAATCATACACGTCATGATTATAATTATAATTTAAAGTTCAAAGGACAAAATATGCAGAAGCATTTGTATCTTTTAAATTCGGAATTGTATTGTCCATTTGGTGCACAATTAATTTGAAATCGGATAAAAATATATATGGGAGCTATATCCAAATCGGAACCGATCTCGATAAAATTTGGCAAAGATATTTCTGAGCTGTATTTGATATATTTTCCTAAATATCGTTGTTACGGAGTGCATATTACGGCTGTGGGTAACAAATATAACAAATCGGATGAACAGTATATATGGGAGCAATAGCTATATCTGAACCGATCTTCACCAAATTTGACATACTAGCTTCTAGACTCAATTCGGTCGTAAGTGCCAAATTTCATCCCATTTGGGCAAATATTAGACGTTTGGTGCACAATCAAAGGTAAATCGGACGAAGTTATATGTGGGAGCTATATCCAAATCTTAACCGATCTCGATAAAATTTAGCAAATGTATTTCTGAGCTTTATTTGATATATTTCCCCAAATATTGTTGTTACAGAGTGCATATTACGGCTGCGGAGGACAAAAATAACAAATCGGATTAACAATATATATGGGAGCTATAGCTATATATGAACCGATTTCGATCAAATTTGGCATACTTATTTTCAGGCCTAATTTGGTTGTATGTGCAAAATTCCATACTATTCGGACTGATATTACACGTTTGGTGCACAATAAAAGGCAACTCAGACGAAGATATATCTAAATTTTGACCGATTATCTCCAATTTCAATATGGTTCGTCCTTGGGCCAAACAAATGATTTGTGCAAAATTTCATCTGGATATGGCAATAAATGCGAACTGTACCTTGTTTACAAGAATACATGGACAGACGGACGGACGGACATGCATAAATCGACTCAGAATGTGATTCTATGCAGATCATCAAAAGGAACAAATGCACAAAGACATAATACCCTGACCACCTTGTGGTGTAGGGTATAAAAACACTACAAATGTACATTCGAAAATAGTAAGTCAAAAGATCATGCAATATAAAACATTACGACTGTACATTTCAAAAGTCAAAATGGAAATTTTCAAATTTCACATTTTTACGCGATTTTTTTTTTTTTTTTTTTTATTTTATGTTTTTCTGCCAAGGGGCAATATCCATTTTTTCTGCATCGTTAAAATCAGACCAGCGGTTCTTGAGTTAAAAGCGTAGTAACTAACACAACATTCTTTTATATACATAGATTTAAAATAATATAAAAAAACTTGAGTTTTTTATATAAAAAGTCCCCAAATATGTATTCATCTTATTTTATTTTCCCTGCCACCATCAGTTGTAGCTTTATCTAAGTATAAGATATTAGATAGACCCCAGCCATTAAAACGTGTAGCTAGTGGTATGCTGTAGGCACCCATATTAGGAAAAATCAAGAAATCTCCACACTCCATGTTAGGAAGCTCCAGGTTTTCACCGACCTATAATTTAGGGTGAAATGGTTATTTATAATAGGTTATATTGTAGTATATAATATTTATAGACACTTACCTTATCGTAGGCATCACAGGTGGGACCCCATATTGTCGTTTTGAATTTGGGCAATAAATCATCCTGAAATATATATTACATATGTATGTTGGTTGATAAAGAATCAACCTTAAGTTCACGCAAAAGCCTGAGACTTCACTTCTACAATTATGGAGCCAAATTTTTTTGGAAAAAATCGACAGAATATGTATTTTGTTATGATTGAATGTTATGCTAAAGATATTTTCATCAATCTAAAATGCACATAAATAATTTCATCTCGATCGAAACGAATGCAAGAATTTGGACCCACATTAATGAAACAAATTGCAACAGTCGATTTTTGTAACATTTACTAGAGTGGAAACACAATCCCCTTCTTACCATGGTAGAAGAATATAGGTAGATGCATCAACGCTTGGGAACATTGACATGTCAAAATTTGTCAAAAATAAATCGATTTTTATATGTTTCCTTATACGACGCAAATCGGAGGCTGTAATGATATGTATTTTTCAAATTTTTTACAAATTTCAATAATTTTTCATTCACGATTTTCAATATCAAAATCGGTTTGACAGTTCATTGTCCCAGCAGCTGTGTCGATGCGACCACCTGTATTCTTCTACCATGCTACTTACCAACAAATGTCGCACCAGTACATCATAATGTTCCACGACAACATTTGCAAATGACACAAAAACTCCATCGTTTATGTAGTAATGTTTCGTTACACTTCCATCTGGCAATTTTGTCTCACGCTTGGAATGGATTTTACAAATCAACATATAAGCGGATTCGACAAAATACCTGCCGGGCTCAGCAATTACGTTTATGTTTTTCTCAGGAAAGTTACGCTTAATGGAGCATTTAATGATCTCAGACATCTGTAGAGTTAGATTTAAAAATTTCGCTAAAAGTAGAAAAAAACTTGGATAATTACAAACCTCTTTGAACTTGTTATAATCACTGCCCGGAAATCCACCACCAATATCCAAGAGAGTCATGTTGAAGCCATGTTTCGTTCCAAAATCGAAAAGTTGTTTTGCTTCAGTTATGGCTCGATCGTAGGCTGGCAGCTCATTGCAACCGGTACCCACATGGAAGCTAATACCAATTACCTAAAAAAGATGGTAGCTATTGAAGTGTGTCGTAGGTTATAAAAAATTATGTCATTTTAAAATTTGCTGAATGAATCTGAACTACCCTACTTAGATCAGCTGTCAATAGGTTAAGTAGATCAGCTGCAGTTTAACGATTTGTCATTGTCATTTTAAAGTATAGATGAAGTAAGCGAAATTTAGGATTAAGTACCGTTATGGTTTGTATATCAGGACTATGATTTCGTCGCAAACGTAAAATGATGAATTGAAAGTTTAAATCAAAGTTGACAGCACTGGTGCTATCGATAGGACTTATTGTCTACTTTATTTTGGTCACTAACCAATAAACGTCGTTAATTACCGAATTTATTAGAATTTTATTGTTAAAGATTTTTGTCAATAACTCTTACTCTCTAACATGAATCGCTCCACGGGAAAGGATAGAGTTCCGTACGCCGAACTTTGAATACCCTTCACCATTTAGAATGAATTTGGAAATTTTCAAAAAATTAAATCCGTTAAAAATTCTGTTAAAATCTTAAAAATACAGAATATAGCCATTATATTTCGATCTATTCGACGTGACCTAAATGGGCTTTGTTTGTCATAAGCCATTACCATATTCAAATTCGAAACTTGAAATAAACGGTGAATAATGTAGCTAAAATCATCAAATTTCCCGTACATAGGGAGGTACCGTTATATCGGAGCTATACGAAGACCTGGACCTTCATAGACAATTTTCTGTCACAGGCTCTTGTATCCATTACGAACTTCAAATGCCAAATTTGAAATTACTCCGGTGAATAATGACGCAAAAATCATCAAAATACCGAATATTGGGGGCTACACGAAGACGTGGACCTGCACAGACAATTTTCTGTCATAGGCTGTAGTATCCATTTCGAACTTCAAATAACACATTTGAAACAATTCCGGTGAATAATGGCGCCAAAATCATCAAAAGACCGAATATAGGAAGACACCGTTATATCGAAGCTATACAAAGACCTGGACCTTCATGGACAATATTCTGTCACAGGCTGTAGTATCCATTACGAACTTCAAATACCACATTTGAAACAATTCCGGTGAGTATTGTACCTAAAATCGCCAAAATAACGAATATAGGGAGTTATCGTTATATGGGGGCTATACGAAGTTGGTGGACCTGCACAGAAAATGTTCTATCATAGCCTGTAGTATCCATTACGAACGGACAAAAGGATAGACGGACAGACTGACGGACGGACATCGCTAAATCGACATAGAATTTAATGCTGATCAAGAATATATTTACTTTATGGGGTCTAAATGTATATTTCGAGGTGTTACAAACGAAATGACAAACTTAATATACCCTTCATACTATAGGGTGAGGATAACGATTGTAATACGCTCTTTCTCACAACTATTTACGGCGAAAATTCGATTGTTTCTTAATTCTCGCGAGCGATAAAGTTGCAGAGTGCACAAGCATTTACAATCTCTCGCGAGCATAAGCAATGAAAAACCAGTAAAGAAAGTCTTAAAGTCAGGCTGGGCCGACTTTATGATACCCTACACCATTTTGCTAATTTAGTAGAGCTCCGCATAACAATTAAAAGTTTTTAAGAGAGAATTCAATCATACATGCTATGATTATAATTATAATTTAAAGTTCAAAAGACTAAATATGCCGAAGCATTTGAATCTTTTAAATTCGGACTTGTATTGCCCATTAATTTGAATTAGATAAAGATATATATGGGAGCTATATCCAAATCAGAACCGATCTCGATAAAATTTGGCAAAGATATTTGTGAGCTGTATTTGATATATTTTCCTGAATATCGTTGTTTCGGAGTGCATATTACGGCTGTGGGTAATAAATATAACAAATCCGATGAACAATATATATGGGAGCTATAGCTATATCTGAACCGATCTTCACAAAATTTGACATACTAGCTTCTAGACTCAATTCGGTCGTAAGTGCCAAATTCCATTCCATTTGGGCAAATATTAGACGTTTGGTGCACAATAAAAGGCAAATCGAACGAAGATATATATGGGAGCTATATCTAATATTTTGACCGATTATCTCCAATTTCAATAGGGTTCGTCCTTGGGCCAAACAATTGAGTTGTGCGATTTGCATTTTATTGTGCACCAAACGTGTAATATAAGTCCGAATAATATGGAATTTTGCACGCACGATCAGATTATCGGTTCAGATATAGCTATAGCTGCCATATATATTGTTCATTCGATTTGTTATTTTTGTCCTCCGCAGCCGTAATATGCACTCTATAACAACAATATTTGGGGAAATATATCAAATACAGCTCAGAAATGCATTTGCTAAATTTTATCGAGATCGGTTCAGATTTGGATATAGCTCCCATATATAACTTCGTCCGATTTACTTTTTATTGTGCACCAAACGTCTAATATTTGCCAAAATGGGATGAAATTTGGCACTTACGGCCGAATTGAGCCTAGAAGCTAGTATGTCAAATTTGGATCGGTTCAGATATAGCTATAGCTCCCATATATACTGTTCATCCGATTTGTCATATTTGTTACCCACAGCCGTAATATCCACTCCGTAACAACGATATTCAGGGAAATATGTCAAATACAGCTCAGAAATATCTTTGCCAAATTTTATCGAGATCGGTTCTGATTTGGATATAGCTCCCATATATATTTTTATCCGATTTCAAATTAATTGTGCACCAAATGGGCAATACAAGTCCGAAATTAAAAGATACAAATGCTTCGGCATATTTAGTCCTTTAAATTATAATTATAATCACAGCGTGTATGATTGAATTCTCCCATAAAAACTTTTAATTGATATGCGGAGCTCTACTAAATTAGCAAAGTGGTATAGGGTACCATAAAGTCGGCCCCGCCCGACTTTAAGACTTTCTTTACTGGTTTTTATTTGCATTTTTTTATGCAGATGCTAATAGAGTTTATTCTTTTCTGTCAAAATGTCATTCTGGATTGGAGAGAATTGTCAAAATCCGTCCAGTCATTCTTAAATTATGAGCGGTGTAAGTAGCATCCCCTTCTTTGATATATGATATTGAATGTGTTTTGTAGAGGAACTGCAATATCAGGAAATATTTTCCGATTATCTTAAAAAACAATAGGCTTCTTTTCTGGCCATACACATAACTTCTTACAATTTTCGTTCGTTTTCACCTGATTTATTTAGTTATAAAATCACTTACATTCAATTTCAATTCCTTGGCCAATAACATTATGGCAGGAGCCTCGGTTTTAGCATTGCAGCCGAATTTTTCACCAAACGACAATTTCACATCGGTAGCGTCACAACGTATTCGTATTACCAGCCTATCGAAAAAAAGTGCAAAATAAATTATTCTCAAAAAAAAAAAAAAAAAAAAAACACAATTTGTCTGTAATCAAAACATCACCCACTTTGATTCGGGAAAATGACGATGCATCTTTAAAATTTCAAATTCAGAATCAACTGTACTGGTTATAACTCCATTATCCTTTGCGTAGGCTAAATGCGTCAAAGGTTTACAAGGCATGGCAAATATGATGCGTTCGGGTTCAACATTTGCATCCAGTACCAGTTTTATTTCACCCATCGAAGCGCAATCAAAATTGGCGCCCAATTTAGCCAGGGTTTTAATAACCATGATATCATCATTACATTTGACAGCTGGAAAATACAGCTGATGCTATTCACTTCAGGAAATTTCGAAAATACAATTCTCTTACCATAATGAGGTTTAATTCCAGGCATTAGTTGATCCCATATTTCATATTTCCTGCGAAAATCATTTATGTCACAGACATACAACGCATCATCGTTGTCTTGCAGGGCCTGGTCTTCAATCACTTGCCTTATATTTATTTCTTTTTTATAAAATTTTATTTCGTGGCCTTTCGTCATTTTGTGTCGAGAAAAGAAGATTTTGAAATGTATGTTTGAATCGATCAACGTTTTCGAGCGAACAAAGACGGATTTTTTTGTTGGGTAGTGAAAGTGAAAAAATCTTAAATATAAAAAAGTAGAAAGTGAGCAAAATAAGGGTATTATTGTTTATTATTTTATCACTAAATGTTTATCAGTATTTGATTTGTGATGATCATAAAGAATACATCAACAACTAATTAAAAAGACGATTATTGTTTGTGTGTTTATGCGATCAATCTGCTATCTAATTTTTATTTTATGGAAGTTTTTATCTACTATGAAGTGGATGGTATACCCTACAATGGAATGGTGGGTATATTTGTAGCTTTATTCACCTTGTAATGCATTGAAATATTTTAAATGATCAAATGCCATTTATGAGAACAATAGATTTGTATTAGCCGAATGGCCACCAAAGCCATATCATTAAAAAAAAAAATTAAAACGCTAAGTGGTTCTGTTGTTGTTCAGATCAATATCATCCAATTCCGATCATGAAAATTATTAATCCCCTCTAGACAGCGTAAAGCATTCATTTAGGAAAATCGTTCAAATCAATCATTTTGGATAAAGTAAGGTCCAATGGAACCGACGGATCATTTTTTCTTGACAATTTGTAGATCATTAATCTGATGGTCCTGGAAAAATTGTTCGATTGATTGGTAGATTGATAAAATCTTGCTGAGATATATTTTAAGACAGAAATTTTTTTGGAATGAACCTTTACTACCAGCCATATAGTCATATTTTTGACACATCTATAGTCCTCATACAAACTGTACCCTCCGATATTCGGTATTTTGTTGAATCCAAGTTTAGGTATAGTCCTCATGCAAACTGTACCCTCCGATATTCGGTACTTTGTTGAATTGTGTCACATTTTCCACTTGGATTGTATTAAATTTGGTGTTTATAGTTCATAGTGGATACTACCTCTGCTGACAGAAAATCGCATATATAAGTCCGCGTCTTCATATAAGCCCCTATAACGGTACCTCCCACTATGCGGTATTTTGATTAATTTAGTTAAATTTTTCAAAAAGTTATAAGCACCCTTGTATCGCTTTCAAATAATTGGGTCTAGAGGTACACGTTCTTATATAGTCCCGTATAACTGTAACATCTTACATTCGGAATTTTTACAATGTAAAAAAATATATCACAAAATATTCACATTTTTATTAGCATTTTTTTATGTGATCTTATACTTTCTGTAAAAAACAATTCTGAAAAAAAAACTGGACTGATGAGAATTGTCAACATCTGTCTAGCCGTTCTTGAGTTATAAGTGGTCTAACTAACGTCCCCTTCATTGATATATGCAATTGCATATATTTAGCTATATTCGATATCTTGGCTATCGGCATTATTGTAACGGTCATCGTGACCCGTTTAGTGGAAATTTTCGTATTTTTACATAAAATGTATAGTTTACCAGTAAAGTAAAGAAAGTCGTAAAATCGGGCGGGCCGACTTTTGATACCCTACACCACTTTGCTAATTTAGTAGAGCTCCGTATAACAATTAAAAGTTTTTATGGGAGAATTCAATCTGAATCGATCTCGATAAAATTTAGCAAATGTATTTCTGAGCTGTATTTGCTATATTTCCCCAAATATTGTTGTTACAGAGTGCATAATACAGCTGCGGAGGACAAAAATAACAAATCGGATGAACAATATATAAGGGAGCAATAGCTATATCTAAACCGATTTCGATTAAATTTGTATGTGCAAAATTCCATACTATTCGGACTGATATTACACGTTTGGTGCACAATAAAAGGCAAATCGGACGAAGATATATATGGGAGCTATATCTAAATTATTATCCGATTATCTCCAATTTCAATAGGGTTCGTCCTGGGGCCAAACAAATGATTTGTGCAAAATTTCATCTGGATAGGGCAATAAATGCGAACTGTACTTTGTTTACAAAAATACATGGACAGACGGACAGACGGACGGACGGACATGCATAAAACGACTCAGAATGTGATTCTATGCAGATCATCAAAAGGAACTATGGGTCTATCTCGTTTCCTTTTGCCTGTTACAAACAAATGCACAAAGACATAATACCCAGACCACCTTGTGGTGTAGGGTATAAAAATATATCACAAAACATTCACATTTTTATTAGCATTTTTTATGCGATCTTATACTTTCTGTAAAAAGCAATTCTGAAAAAAAACTGGACTGATGAGAATTGTCAACATCTGTCTAGCCGTTCTTGAGCTATAAGTGGTCTAACTAACGTCCCCTTCATTGATATATGCAATTGCATATATTTAGCTATATTCGATATCTTGGCTATCGGCATTATTGTAACGGTCATCGTGACCCGTTTAGTGGAAATTTTCGTATTTTTATATAAAATTTATAGTTTATTAGCTGGCCCGGTCCGCGTTGCCGGCCCGTAGTTATATTTGAAAAAAATATTTGTTATAAATAATGACTCGCACCGGTTGAGTTAAAGTGTTTTAAAAACCTGATCCTATCTTTCAGCCATAGGTTGTAATTTGAGAATTAGAAACCTAAATAAAAAAACACACCTATTAAAAACTATACATCCACCATTTATAATTTGTGGGCTAGAGGCTGTTTTTTGATTAAAGTAAAATGCAGTGACAATTAAACGATATCAGTCTGTCTCTCCGCCAATCTGTTAAAATATCTATACATCGGCGGAACTGGGAGATACTGTTTTAAGGGACTATACTAAAATATATACCTACACTTTACACTTTAATACACATTTTTAGCCAAATCCTTGAAATATGTGAAATTAGGTTCCTTTATGTAGGCGCTACTGCAAAACATTGACCTTCATTACGAAGAGGTTTTCTATCCTCTTAGAAGCCAAGATGCCAAATATGGGCCGATCAATTGAAAAATATGGCAAGACCCCGGAAAGCTTAAATCAGGGGGATACCTTTGCTATAATTTTTGAAAAGACATTTTCTTCTTTCTAAATTCTCAAGTTACAACATTTTGTCGAAATAAGTTCGAAAAAAAATTACTTGAAATCGGAATATACCCTTATACATATGTGGACAATATCAAAACGTACATCATTGGATTGTATCAAATCTAAGAATCCATCGTAAATTTTGCGAAGTATAGAGCAAAATATTTAAGGCCTTTTGTGTATGGTTAAGGCTATATATAATGGACCCTAAAAAAGTTTAGCATGGTAACCCCAAACCCATTTGGAATTTTGATCTACTAACCGAATACTATTCACTAAGAATTTTCCATCCCCAGATTGGCTGTTGCACAATGTCGTTACTCGCTATTGCATAAAACGATACCTATGATTTAAGTATGTTAAAGATTTCGGAAGAATTTTCGGAGGATATGAATCCTTTTCTTACAAAATGTTAAATTCGTTCCATCATTTTGTATACTCCATATATTGTAACCATAAAAAATTTCGAAAAATTAAAAATACATTTTTATTAGCACATTTGTATCCATTTTTTGGATTTATCGTTTTCAAGAGATCATTCCTAAACGGTGTGAATTGTTAAAATCAGGCCACCGTTTTGAGTTATAAGCGCAGTAACGAACAAAACTTTCTTTTATGTGGTGAAAATAATTCTTTATTTTGTTCACAAAAAACGATTGGATTCAATGTGATAAGCCAAATTGAAAAAAATCATACATTGTATAAAATTGACAGAAAAGAAAAACGAATTGAAAAAAGAAAAAAACTTCAACTTGTTCCTTGGTTTTTTTTACGGCAAGTGTTTAAATGTCCTTACCAAGTTTGTCAATGAAAAATGAGATAGACTCTATTTTTTGATTTTTTTAGCGATTTTGAAAAAGTTATTAACTTTGGTGTTACCGCATTCATATATTTCGACATCGTCTATTCAGTTTCGCCACCACATAATTCGGTACTACACTTCAATGTAACCCACCTGCAATTTCATTTCTCAATAAATCGAGTCAATTAAGTAAAGTTTATCAAATCGAAAAACCCGTTCGTACACCATAAAATATTGATTTTTATTTTGTTCATAGCTTATCCTCTTACCTAATATATACATTAAACCAATCAAACTTTAAATACCCCTAACAACACTATGTTGTTAGATATAATAATTAAACGAAAAAGTGATAAAATTGAAAAAAAAAAAAACGTATAAGCAAAAACGCGGGCCGAACTTTTAATACCCTTCACCATGAAGATGGGATTGAATATTGGGTCCACTTACATTTTTGCAGGTAAAATCGGTTGGAAAAATCCGTAATTTCGATGGTACCGGGTTCCTGCCAAAGAAGTTGACACAGTGTCAAATACCAAATTTAAAAAGATTTACTGAAAAAAATGTGACTAAATTACCAAAATACGAAATATTCGGAGGTACCGCTTTATGAGGAACCAAAGAATTAACAAGTAAAAAACCAGTAAGTTCCATTTGGAACGAATTGGAAAATTTTCAAAAATATAAAATCCATTAAAAATTCTTTTAAAATCTTTAAAATATCTAATATGGGAAGGTGCTGATATACGATATTGTGGACCTATAAAGACAAATCTATGTCTGGGTGTAAAGTGCTCATAAGGAACTCCTTGTGTGGATTTTCAGAAAATTCCATTGAAAAAAGTGGCTAAAATCATCAAAATACCGAATATAGGGGAGTACCGTTTTATGGGGGATATACGATGTTGTGGACCTATAAAGATAATTCTCTGCCGAGGTATAAAGTACCCACAAGGAACTCCTTGTGTAGATTTTCAGACCATTTCGATGAAAAATGTGGGTAAAACAATCAAAATACCGAATATCGGGAGGTACCGTTATATGGGGGATATACGATATCGTGGACCTAAATTCTCTCTGAGGGGGTAAAGTACTCACAAGGAACTAGTTGTGTGGATTTTAAGACAATTCCACTGAAAAATGTGGCTAATATCATCAAAATACCGAATATCGGGGGGTACAGTTATATGGGGGATATACGATATCGTGGACCTATATAGACAATTATTTTTGAGGGGGTAAAATGCCCACAAGGGACTCCTTTTGCGGAATTTCAGACAATTCCATTGAAAAATGTGTCTAAAATCAACAAAATACCGAATACTGTGGGGGTACCGTTATATGGGGGCTATACGATATTGTGGACCTATATAGATAATTCTCTGCCGATGTATAAAGTACCCACAAAGAACTCCTTGTGTGGATTTTAAGATGATTCCATTGAAAAATGTGGCTAACATTACCAAAATACCGAATATCGGCCGTACCGTTATATGGGGGCTATACGATATCGTGGACCGATATAGCCCATCTTCGAACTTAACCTGCCTGCAGACAAAAGAGAGATCTGTGCAAAATTTTAGCTTCCTATCTTAATTCGTTTAGACTGTAACGTGATTAAAACAGACGGACAGACGGACGGACGGACGTAAATCGTCTTAGAATTTTACGCTGATCAAGAATATATATACTTTGTTGTGTCTAAAATGATTATTTCGATGAGTTACAAACGGAATGACGAACTTAATATACCCTCCATACTATGTATGGTGGAGGGTATAAAAATAATAGAAGAAAACATGTTAACAGCTAAGTTCCGCCGGGCCAAACTTTCAGTACCCTATAGGGACTATACGAAGACATGGACCTGCATGAAAATACAGGCTATCGGTAGGTACCGTCATATAGGGGCTATACGAAGACGTGGACCTGCATACGAAATTTTTTGCCATAAGTTGTAGTATCCATTAAGATCTTTCAATACGAAATTTGAAACGATTCCGGTGAATAATGTTGCTGAAATCGTTAAAATATCGAATATCGGTAGGTAGCGTTATATAGGGCTATACGAAGACGTGGAGTTGCATACAAAAATTTTTGTCATAGGCTGTAGTACCCATTGCGAACTTCAAACACGAAATTTGATTCCGGTAAATAATGTCGCTAAAATCATGAAAATACCGAATATGGAGAGGTACCGTAACATGGGGGCTATACGAAAACGTGGACCCATTTACGACAGACAGACAGACGGACATCGCTAGATCGTCTTAGAATTTTACGCTGTTCCAGAATATATATACTTTTTATAGTCTATTATGAATATTTTGAGGAGTTACAAACGGAATGACAAAGTTAATATACCCTCCTTAGAATGGTGGAGGGTATAAAAATGGAAGGGGTTATAGCAAAATATGAACCTATACATGCAATAATCTGTCGAGGTAGAACCCATTATGAACCTATATATACAATGTGCTGCCACAGGAGGTAGAATCTGTTACAAACTCTAAGTACGAATATTAAACAATTCCGTTTGAAAATGTGGCATAAATCTTGGGGTGGTACAGTTATATGTAGGCTATAAGAAAAAGTGGACTTGTTTAGACAATGTTCTCTCACTGGAGGTAGAACCCGTTAAATACTTGAAGTACCGAATTTTTAACAATTGTGTTAGAAAATGTGATGTAAGTCGTAAAAATATCGAATATCGAGTAGAAACGTTATATGAAGGCTACAGAAAAACATAGACATATAGAGACAATGTTCTGTCACAGGAGGTGGAATCTGCTACAAAGCGTAAGCTTTAAACAACTCTGTTAGAAATTTTGATATAAACAGTCAAAACACCGAACTTAATATGGGTGCGATAAATGAAAACATGGACCGATATGGGCCATTTACGAACTTAAAAAATTGTTTGGCCTTCTCTCTCAATTCGCTTCAAAGATAGCGTGATAACAAGAGACAGTCCGATATCTCTAAAACAACTTAGAATTCTACACTGATAAAGAATATTTGTCCTTTGTTGGGTCTAACATGAGTATTTCAAAGAGATTCAAACGGAATTACCTTTGTCGTTGTCATAAACCTCCATAGTATGGTGGAGGGTATAATAAGACTTTTAAAGACCGATCAGTTTTATGTGAATCGTGAGTACCGGTGACACAGTCAATAGTAAGTCAACAGTGTTTTTTTTTTCAATGCATACGGAAAAATTCTCATTTTGTACTGATAACCTCTGACCACATCTTAAGTGAACAAACTCAATACGTGAAATGTGATGGACTAAATTCTCAAAATAGTCTCACCCTATACGTCTAGCACAGCAGTCAACCCAGATTTAAATCGAATAAAATTTCTAATCTGAAAACATGTTCAAAGAAAATGAAATTAATTTCTATGAAAATAAAATCGATTTGAAACAAGTGATTGCCGGACAAAATTTACAATCCGCCGATGAGGCTTTATTTGTATGTGATTTGACCCGTTTAAAGGAGAAATATGACATGTGGACGAAATATATGCCAAGAGTGAAGCCCTATTATGGTAAGTAGCAAGTGCCGAATTCCAAGTCAAATTCAGTGAATGACTCTTTGTTTTGCGTTTCCTACCATATAGCTGTAAAATGCAATGATGATGGTCATATTGTCAAAACCTTAGCTGAGCTGGGCACTAATTTTGATTGCGCTTCGAAGGGTGAAATAAAACAAGTTCTGGATTTGGGTGTCCATCCGGATCGTATAATTTTCGCCCAGCCCTGTAAACCAATTTCACATCTGGAATATGCCAAGGAAATGGGTGTTATGACCAGCACTGTGGATACTGAATTTGAAATCCATAAGCTGCATAAACATTTTCCAGAATCAAAGTAAGTATAACCCTGGGTATTGGATTTTCACTTACAATTTTTTTTTTTTGGAAAAAATCTGAAAATTATTCTTATGTCCTCAAAATTTCTTATTCCGAGGGCCGGGTTTTTTATAAAAAAGTCTATGATCCGATTATTGTTTTTCCATAATATCCCTGAAATAGAAAAGAAAATTCTTCAGGTCCCTAAAATTTGGTTTTTTCTATAGAAAGTTTTTCAGCTGCTGGGATTCTTCCCATAGAACAAATTGTAAAACGAAGAATTATTTTCACTAAAAAAACATTTCTTGTATTTTCCTTATAGCTTGGTCATACGTTTCCGTTGTGAGGCCAAGGAGGCCCAATGTCCCTTGGGAGATAAATTTGGATGTGATGCTGAAAATGAGGCCACATCTCTAATGCTTTTGGCAAAGAGTCTGAACTTGAAGGTATTGCAATTTATATTTAATTTCTAAGGTGAACTTCATATTGTTTTGCCAAATTCCAGGTTATTGGCACAAGTTTTCATGTTGGTTCCGGTTGCAACGATCTACCAGCCTATGATCGAGCCATTACCATAGCTAAAAATCTCTTCAAATTCGGTGCATTACTTGGCTATGAAATGAATTTGCTTGATATTGGTGGTGGTTTTCCGGGCAGCGATAATCAGAAATTTGAAAAGGTTAGTTGCCATGTTCGGAATGAGACTTGTGTTTTTATGTTATTGTTTTTTTTTTTTTTTTGTTTTGTATTTTGTAGATTGCCGAGATTGTTAACAAATCTCTGATGCGTCATTTTCCCGATGATAAGGTTAATATTATCGCTGAGCCGGGTAGATTTTTTGTCGCCTCCGCTTATACTTTGATTTGTAAAATTCATGCTAAGCGTGAAGCCCGCTTGCCCAATGGAAAGCTGCTGACTAAAATGTATTATCTGAATGATGGCGTTTATGGGTCATTCAATTGCATTTTGTATGATCATCAACATGCTGAGGTGCAACATTTTGTGGTGAGTAATCGAAATGTATAGAAGGTATTAGGGAAAAAGTGAAATCGAGCGAAGCAAACCCATATATCAACATGGATTACTCATCCACTGGGGTCAGTACAGCCGTGTCTGTTTTTGTGTATCAAGAAAAATTTAGTCTTTCCCTTGCTGCATCACATCTTCACTTAAAGAGCTTTTCGCTGCAAACGAAGTGCTCTTCAGGTCACTTTCACACTCTTGAGAATCCTTCAGAGTTCTTAAGAATGTCAAAGTGACTTGCTGCCTACGTATGTGTGCGCCTAAGTGGCACTTCAAAGCTGACTTTTTGGTTTTCAGTGTGAATTGTTTCAAAATAAAAGAGAAGAAGGTCAGGTTAGATGTTAAAAAGATTTAAAAAACGAAGAAAATTATTTAAAAATTTATACTTAAAAATATTTTTTTATTTGTTGTTTTAATTGTTGAAAATGTCAAATTTATATTTTTAGGACGAAGAAAACGCCGAAGTACCGAAATTTAATTCCCTGATATGGGGTCCAACATGCGATGCCTTGGATAAGGTAATTATTTGTGCAGATAATTTGTCTTTAATACACTGACCCATGCATCTCATTTAAGATCGCCGAAGATTTACAATTGCCCGATTTGAAATGCGGTGATTTCTTGGCCTTTCCCAATATGGGTGCTTACACAATACCCATTGCCAGCCCGTTCAATGGTTTTATGCTACCCAAAATCTTATATTTCCATAAAGCAAAAATCTGACTAATATTGGAAATAATAATAAATTATGTACAGAATTTGGAAGTTGATAAAGAACAAAAGGTGTTAAAATATTTATTTCATGATCAATAAGGACATTTATGAAACATTACAAAAAATCTGACGTTTACAAAACTAAGTGAATTTAGGCTGTCCGCTTTCATCCATCTGGGGTAAACTTAAGAACCTGCATGGTAGAATTAGGAATGCATCCAAATTTCAAATAAGAATATCCAATTTTAAATAAATATAATGCCATGATTTTGACATTTTTTTTAAATTTAAATAAATTGTATGAAAGCAAAAAATGTCGGAAATAACATCATATTTTAGAATAAATTTAGATTTGTTCGAATTGGTCACCTTTGATCACCTTTATGGTCTTCAAACGGCCAGTGAAACCATCACACGCTGCCCGAATGTTGCTTTGCGGTATTTTGGCCCATTTCCGGCGAAGCGCTTGCTTGAGGTGATCGACATAATATTCGGGATTTATTCTGATGCCGCGGTTGATTAATACGAGCGGAGAGCGACCATTGCCTGTTATGGCGGCCCACACCATCACCATTAACAATCTACGCCTTAACTAATTTCTTTAAACAATCCACGCCTTAAATAATATCTCTCCTTTAAAAAAAATCTTTAAAAAAATCCACGCCTTTAAAAAAATCTTTAAAAAAATCCACGCCTTTAAAAAAAATCTTTAAAAAAATCCACGCCTTTAAAAAAAATCTTTAAAAAAATCCACGCCTTTAAAAAAAAATCTTTAAAAAAATCCATGCCTTTAAAAAAATCCACGCCTTTAAAAAAATCTTCAAAAAATCCACGCCTTTAAAAAAAATCTTTAAAAAAATCCACGCCTTTAAAAAAATCCACGCCTTTAAAAAAATTCACGCCTTTAAAAAACTCCTCGCCTTTAAAAAAAATCCACGCCTTTAAAAAATCTTTAAAAAAATCCACGCCTTTATAAAAATCTTTAAAAAAAATCCACGCCTTTAAAAAAATCTTTAAAAAAATCCACGCCTTTAAAAAAATCCACGCCTATAAAAAATCTTTAAAAAAATCCACGCCTATAAAAAATCATTAAAAAAACCCACGCCTTTAAAAAAATCTTTAAAAAATCCACGCCTTTAAAAAATCTTTAAAAAAATCCACGCCTTTAAAAAAAATCTTTATAAATATTTACGCCTTTAAAAAATCTTTAAAAAAATCCACGCCTTTAAAAAAAATCTTTATAAATATTTACGCCTTTAAAAAATCTTTAAAAAAAATCCACGCCTTTAAAAAAATCTTTATAAATATTTACGCCTTTAAAAAATCTTTAAAAAAATCCACGCCTTTAAAAAAAATCTTTATAAATATTTACGCCTTTAAAAAATCTTTAAAAAAATCCACGCCTTTAAAAAAAATCTTTATAAATATTTACGCCTTTAAAAAATCTTTAAAAAAATCCACGCCTTTAAAAAAAAATCTTTATAAATATTTACGCCTTTAAAAAATCATTAAGAAATCCACGCCTTTAAAAAAAATTTAAAAAAAATCCACGCCTTTAAAAAAATCCACGCCTTTAAAAAATTTTTAAGAAATCCACGCCTTTAAAAAATCCACGCCTTTAAAAAATCCAAGCCTTTAAAAAATCCACGCCTTTAAAAAAATCTTTAAAAAAATCCACGCCTTTAAAAAATCTTTAAGAAATCCACGCCTTTAAAAAATCTTTAAGAAATCCACGCCTTTAAAAAATCATTAAGAAATCCACGCCTTTAAAAAAAATTTTAAATAAATCCACGCCTTCAAAAAAATCCACGCCTTTAAAAAATCTTTAAGAAATCCACGCCTTTAAAAAAAAATTTAAAAAAATCCACGCCTTTAAAAAAATCCACGCCTTTAAAAAATCTTTAAGAAATCCACGCCTTTAAAAAATCTTTAAGAAATCCACGCCTTTAAAAAATCTTTAAGAAATCCACGCCTTTAAAAAATCTTTAAGAAATCCACGCCTTTAAAAAAAATTTAAAAAAATCCACGCCTTTAAAAAAAATTTAAAAAAATCCACGCCTTTAAAAAAATCTTTACAAAAATCCACGCCTTTAAAAAATCTTTAAGAAATCCACGCCTTTAAAAAAATCTTTAAGAAATCCTCGCCCTTAAAAAAATCTTTAAAAAATCCACGCCTTTAAAAAAATCTTTACAAAAATCCACGCCTTTAAAAAATCTTTAAGAAATCCACGCCTTTAAAAAAATCTTTAAGAAATCCACGCCTTTAAAAAAATCTTTAATAAATCCACGCCTTTGAAAAAATCTTTAAGAAATCTACGCCTTTAAAAAAATCTTTAAGAAATGAGTTCTGGTGGCCAACCGAAGGTGCACATTTTCACCTGACCTCTTTGCCAAGTAAACACGATCATTTTGTTTGTTTACAAACTACTGGACAATGAATGTTTTCTCACCTGGGAAAACCACCTTCGGCCAAGCGAAGCAACTCTTTAGCTCTCTTGAGTCTATTTTCTTTCTGTTGTGGTGTAAGATCTAGCACTTTTTGGAATTTAAGTGGCATTACCTCGAGCTCATTTTTCAATATTTGCCGAATGGAATAATGCGATATGTTCAGCTCACGAGCCATTTTTCGGCCACTGCGACGCTGGTTTCGATCAAGTCGCTTCTTTACTTTTCGAACCATTTCTGCTGATGTTGCTGTTTGCTTTCGTCCGCTTCCTTGACGTCGGGCTACGCTACCAGTATCGCGGTAACGAGCGATAGTACGAGATACAATAGATTTATTCACAATTAAATGCTGGAGTGCTCTTACGATAGCCACATGTGGTTTTCCAGTCAAAGATAAAGAAATCACACCATCACGCTTGAATTCCATCACGAATGACTTTTTTTTTTTGGAAAGTTCTCACCAAAATGCTTTTGTACGCTTATAAAAAATATAATTAGATGTCACTGGAATAATTTTAACAGCTGTCGGACGAGTGGCTTAGAAATGACAGCAGTCTGAAGTTGGTTAAAGTTTTTACATCTCACCCTGTATTGTTCCAAACTGGTTAATATCTTTAATGCGCTCCCAACAATCATTGATTTAGAAAATGCTTTGTTTTTTTCAAAATGATAAATATAAACAAGAATTTCGCAAAAGTTGAATATACTCAGAAAACATATCTTTTTGTATCATAGTTAGGCCCTGCTATACTTACCATCTTCCTTGAAGTGTTTTCCCCAAAAAAGAAGTCTATCCAATTTTGTTTACTCCGCTCTAAAGTTTTGTGGAATGGATGTATTGCATCCCCATTACATTTTCGGCTCCATTTATTTAAAAAATGAATATAAATTTTTGTTATCGCTCTATATAAAATTTTTATATAAAGTACATTATAAAAATTGAAGAATTAAAATTATAAAAATTTATATTAAAAAAGTTTTATACTTTTATACCATTGTTAAAAAAAAGATAACATATATTAATATAAAGCGATATTATCAACTCTTTTTAATAAGCTGACCCTTGTGTTATTTGGAGTTGTAGCATAATAACGGTTTATATTGTTAACTATTACATAGTTTAATTAGAGTTATAACATAGTTTTTATGTAAGCACATAATTTATAAAAAAAGTAATAGTCTGCATATAAAAAGGAACTTTGTAGAATTATTTGCCTGTCTGCTATATTTTATATGCTGACCTTTTGATATGTAATAAGCAGATCAGTTGTAAATAATTTAGAAGGTTTTGATTATAAATACATAAACGCAATACCAAAAATATTAATAAAAAATAATAATAATAATATTTGGAAATTAAAAAAGAAATAATAAAAACAATATCAAAATATATATATATTTTTTAAAATATTTGCATTTAGTTTTGTTTTGGTTTTTGTGCTTCTTAAAAAGCCCCTTTTCCTGTGGCACTTAAGATGATATGTTTCGTCTGAATTTGGTTTTGGTTTTTTGTTTTCTCCAAAAAAAATTCTGAGATGATATGTATTTCGTTTTAAAAGCTATTAGCGTTTTTTTTCTTATAATAGTTTTTCAAAAATAGTTTTTTTTTTTTTTTTTTCATTTTTTAGTTTTTAAAAAAAAAAAAAAAAAATGAGCTACAAACCACTTATTTTTAATTTTGTTTTGCCCTTAAATCAGTTCTTATTTTGCATTTAATTTTTATTTTCATTAATTTTTTCTCAAGCATTTTATATTACTTTTTCAGATCCTTGAAAGAAAGAAAGGGATGTGTGATTTTTTTAATTCTTTTAACTGTTATGCATTAATTTTGTAGAGTTTGTGTAGTTGTAGCTTCTGTTTTCATTACACTTAGTTGTAAACATTTAATTTTATTTGTATATTTCTTTTTTTTTTATAAAATTTCTCTAAAATATTTTCCATAAATACGTTTTAGTAAAAAGGAAACAAAAAAATAAAGAATTCATTAATGATTGTATCTCACAACAACGATAACATTTATATATATATGTACTGTCTATATATTTTTATGTGATTTTTGTACCGGTAAGCGGGTTTAGGGTTTTTCATTTGTAATATTTAAGATTTAAGGACTTGTTTGAATTTTCCATCAGATGTTAAAGGGGAAACCTACAAGGAAATGACCTTAGTTGCATGTCGATTTTTATGTATATGTATGTTCCTGTCCCTCGAAGTGGTCATTTGTCAGACATTTTTGGAACGGCTTGCTTGTGAAAGCTCATATTTTGCCGAATGGCTTTCTGGCTACGTTCGAGGTATGAGTGTCTGTAGATGTAAATCTTTCAACGGTACGGACAAGGACTTCGATATGGTTATAAGTCGTTTCCAAGCGAGGAAATTATAAAGAAATCGTGTAACTAAAGACTTCCTTCGTATCCCCTCTTCAGCATGTTTTTTTTTTAATTAGTATAACTCGTATAGGTGAACCATAGATTTAAGATCTTCGATATTTTTGGTATACAGAGTATACTCTGTTGGTATTCCATAGGCAGTAACCGTTCTATTTGATACATGTATTTTTAGAGGATACATAGAACTCCGCAAAGTCCCTTTAAAAAGTGAAATATATCTATAAAGAATTTGGAAAATTAAATTTGCATTCTGGTGGAACATTTTCTATAGATATTTTATTCCAAAACATAAAATCGATCAACATTCGGACTTAATTTTTTTTTTATTATTTAATATGGATGATTTTTTACTGCATTAGAGACCCTTTTTCGCATTGCTTGCATCAATATCCTTTGTGTCTTAAAAAAAACAGTTAACATTTTAACACAACTTGGGTTGAGAATTGCCGTTTCTGAAGCAGGTGGTTTTCTTTGTAGAAATAGTATTTGCGTGGCAAGTGACTTTTTTACACATTTATTGTAAAATTTGTAATTTAATTTTTTTTATTTTTTGTTCAAAAGAAGCTCAGAAAAATGTTTCAATTTATTAGTTAAGTGGACTTTTCGTAGACTACTTTGGGGGAAAATTACAACACTGATTGGTTGTTAAAATACATACATAAATTAGTTTAAATATAAGCTGTTCTGATAAAAAAGAAGTTTATAAAGATCTCTCACTTTTTGATATTGTAAGGACTTTGAATGCGAAAAAAAATATCATCAGAGGAATTGAGGCAATTTCTGTGAAAAAATGTTACCTTCAGTATCCTGAAGTTTTTTTTAAGAGTTTGAATATTTCCAGGGATCTTGTTGAATTCTTTTTTCGTAAATTCAAGAAATGTTATTAAATTTCAAAAAATGTGTACAGTACAGGATACCTAAAGAATGTTTTTCTTTCACAAAATGTAACCCAATTCATTGGTTTTCCTAAGGATAATTTTCCCAAAAACATTTTTAGATTCTCTGAGGATTTCTTTATTTATTGAAAACAATTCTTGAATTTCGCTCAAGTTAGTTCTTTCTATAGAAAACCAGTAAGGAAAGCTCAAAAGTCGGGCGGGGCCGACTATATGATACCCTACACCACTATGCATATTTAGTAGAGCTCTCGTAAAAAGGTTTATACAGGGCATTTCAGAGCTCTATGAGATATTTGATACAAAATCAAAATCTATATAATTCTATCGTGCATTTTACGAACTATAGCTATCTCTGAACCGGGTTTCTCCAAATTTGACGTATAAGCTTCTAGACTGAATTCGGTCTTATGTACGAAAATTCAGGTGATTTGGGCTGATATTGACCATTTAGTGCACATTTAACCAAATCTGAACCGATTTCGATAAAATTTAAAACAGCTATTCCTGTGCTCCATCTCATACCTGGTACTAAATATCACGGTTTTGGAGTGAATATTACGAATGTAAGGGACTAAAACACTAAATCGGATGAAACATATATATGGTTGCTATATCTATATCTGAACCGATTTTCACTAAATTTGATATACTTGCTTCTAAGCTGAATTTGGTCTGATGTACTAAAATTCAGTCCATTTGGACTTATATGCACAATTAACCCGAAATCGGATGAAGATATATATGGGAGCTATATCCAAATCTGAACCGATTTCGATAGAATTACAAACAGCTATTTCTGGGCTGTATCTTATATCTGGTACCAAATATCATTCTTGTGGAGTGCATATTACGAATGTGAGAGGCTTAAACACCAAATCGGATGAAACATATATATGGGAGCTATAGCTGTTTCTGAACCGATTTTCTCCAAATTTGTTGTATTTGCTTTAAGGCTAATCTCGGTCACATGTGCCAAAATTCGGGCCATTTGGGCTGATATTGGCCATTTGGTGGTCAATTAACCCAAAATCGGATGAAGATATATATGGGAGCTATATCCAAATCTGAACCGATTTCGATAAAATTTAAAACAGCTATTTCTGTGCTCTATCTAATACCTGGTACCAAAAATCACGGTTGTGGAGTGCATTGTAGGAATGTGAGGGACTTAAAGATCAAATCGGATGAAAGATATATATGGGAGCTATAGCTATATCTGAACCGATTGTCTCCAAATTTGACATACTTGCTTCTAGGCCGAACTCGGTTGCGTGTGCCAAAATTCAGGTAATTTGGACTGATAGTGGACATTTGGTGCACATTTAACCAGAAATCGGATGAAGATATATATGGGAGCTATATCTAAATTTGATCCGATTCTCACCAATTTCAATAGGGTTCGTCCTTGGGCCAAAAAAATATTGTTTGGAAAATTTCATCTCAATCGGATAATAAATGCGACCTGCATTTTGTTCACAAGAATACATGGACAGACGGACGGACGGACGGACGGACAGACGGACGGACATGCATAAATCGACTCAGAAAGTGATTCTATGAAGGTTCTCAAAAGTAACTATGGGTCTATCTCGTTTCCTTCTCCATGTTACAAACAAATGCACTTAAAGATCAAATCGGATGAAAGATATATATGGGAGCTATAGCTATATCTGAACCGATTGGCTCCAAATTTGACATACTTGCTTCTAGGCCGAACTCGGTTGCGTGTGCCAAAATTCAGGTAATTTGGACTGATAGTGGACATTTGGTGCACATTTAACCAGAAATCGGATGAAGATATATATGGGAGCTATATCTAAATTTGATCCGATTCTCACCAATTTCAATAGGGTTCGTCCTTGGGCCAAAAAGATATTGTTTGGAAAATTTCATCTCAATCGGATAATAAATGCGACCTGCATTTTGTTCACAAGAATACATGGACAGACGGACGGACGGACATGCATAAAACGACTCAGAAAGTGATTCTATGAAGGTTCTCAAAAGTAACTATGGGCCTATCTCGTTTCCTTCTCCATGTTACAAACAAATGCACAAAGACATAATACCCTTACCACTATGTGGTGTAGGGTATAAAAATGCTACGATTTCCCTATGACTGAATTTCCGGTATTGATGAGAATTACACTTTATGTTATAAAATAAACAACTTCGGAACTCCGACATTTTACAAGAAGAATGCTCATATTCCTGACGAATACAACTTTAGAATTTCTTACAAAGAAAGTATTATTCAGATAGACTGAGGTCTAATTTTTCTGCAGAAAAAATCCATTAGGTTCCTTTGAAGAACTTTTTAATTCAACATCTAAATGGGGTAAGATGTTTCCCATAAAAAAAAATCCCTGACTTTCTAAGAGTAATACTTAGAACCAGAGAACTAAAACTTTAGAATTTTCCATAAAAAGTATTCTTTAAGCCGCCTAAGATATCATCAGATTCCCCAAGGTTTACGTAGACAAAAAATCTTCAGGTCTCTTTGGAGTAATTTTTCTTTTTTGCTGCCAAAAAAGTTTCTTTCATTCATGATAATATAATTTTTTTTATTATTTAATATTTTTCCATAGAAAAAATCCTACAAAGGTCTCTGATTTATCAGGGAAAATTCAAATCCTGAGAATTACTATTTAAAACTCTGCGACCATTAGGAGTATATATAGAAAATCTTTCGGTACCTGAGGATTACATTTTTCCTCCCAATTCTCCATTTTATTCCTCGAGTCTATTGAGGATCGCATTTTTCTTTTAGGCCCGTTACACTGAAACTTACAGTGAAAACTTCCAAAAAAATATAAATTATTATTTTTAGCATTAAAAATGCAAACTTAAAAAAAAAAATTAACTTTTATTTAAATTTAAACACAAAAAAATTAAAAATAAACTTTTTAATTCATTTTTGGTATATTTTTAAAATATAAATTAACATTGTGATTATGTTCAAATTGTTTATATTAGTTTATTATTTTAAATAAAGTAAAAAATAATCCTTAATTACAAAATTAAATATAAATACATAATGTTAGTTATCATTAAAAATCAACATAAAGATAAAAATTAAATAAAAAACATATAAATTATAAAAATAATATATAAAATGCTTTATAATTTAAAAAAAAAAAATATATATGTGTAGATGCTCTGTTCCAGAATCTGCACGGATTTAAAAAAAGTACTGCATTAACCAATTTTCGTGTATGGTATCGAAAAAATAGTACTAATAGTACGTTTTTTTGAATTCCCCATAAAGTATGCTACAAAAAAGGTTACTTGTTAATTTCTCATTTCCATTAGTGTTTTCCTAAAAAACTAGTGATATGTTTTCGATATAGTGTAGATATTTTGTTTTATGTTTGTTTGTTTTTTTTTTTTTTTTTTTTTCAAAAAGTTGCAACCATTTATCCCTAGAAGTTACTTGATTGATAAATACATTTAGATGTGGTGTAAAAAAATTAAAAGGGAAATAAAGAAATCCAAACCTTAATAATAGATTACACAGACACATATATTGTAAAGTTTAGTGTGTGTGTGTTCAACAGTTGTCTTACATGTTATATAAATATAATAAGGATGTACATATATATTCCTTTTCTTTGCTATTTTTTTTCCTCATCATTAAAAAACCCCGAGAAATAGCAATGCTCGTACTAAAACTAATTTTTTTTTGGATGTTGTTGCAGTTGTAGTTGATATTCTAGTCTGTTTCTTTTTCTGATATGTAATTGTTTCTTCTGTACGTCTTGCTGATCATAAAACTCGTGTCTGTATGTTGCACAAATAATTTACAACAATTTGTTATTTTAGCAACATTTCGTGTTGTTTGTTTTAACTTAGCTTTTCATTGGTGTCTCACACATACATGTGTAGTAGTTGTTGTTGTTGTACAAAATAAGAGAGTGTCGATAGTCGTAGTAGTAGTAGTTGGTATAGTTATATATTGTAGCGTGCGTTTGTTTACCACTTCCACCACATGATTCCTTTAAAAAGTACACAAAAACGTCACAAGCATATTTACTGGCAGTAAACGCCATAACAACACACCATTTGTGTCCAGTAAATCACTTGCTTCACTGGACGACAGACCGGCACAGTGCATTTTCTCCAGCGGCATCGACTGTACGAAATAATCCCGATTCTCCACGGGCATATGACAGATGGGTTTCTTTTTCTGAGCCATTTCATCGTCTTTGTTCTTGAGATCCTGCAGGAGCTTGGGGAACCAGGTTAGCTCGCACGAGCACACCAAAGGATTATCTGAAAGTAAATTGTTGTCATAAGAGAACTTTTATTGTTCGAGCTATTTCCGGAGATATTGTGTACTTGCCTGTTATATCGATTATTCGCAGCGTGTCGATGATGTGCTCCATGATGTCTTGCGGTAAGCGAGTCAATTTATTATTTTGAATATTTAATGTTTCCAGAGAATTTAAATTTTCAAATATCATGCTAGGTAATACCTTGATACTAAAAGAAAGGTTTATTAATTACAGATGTTCAAATAAAAAAAAAAAAAAAACGAAATAGAGATACATTTTTTTCTATTTTTAAAAAATTTTGTAAATTTTGCTTTTGTTTTCAAAGATTTTTTTTAAATAAATGGTCTGGTTCTAAAGAGACGTTATGAATTTTTATATGTGATACCCTACAACACTACAATATGTCAGAAGCCCCCCTATGTCCAAATCCATTTTGGTAGATTTCGCTTTGAAATGATGTCCCAGATATTACCCTTAGCTTTTGACCTGGGACATTTGCCCAATATTTACCCACTCCGTCATGCTGCTATTGATTGTGGTCCATTTTACAGCTAAATAAAATCCAATGATCATTCAAAATGCTAGATTTTTTTCCTGTTCTTAACTCTCTTTTCATGCAAAATTTGTTGTCGATTGGTTTCAATTTTGTAATCAGGAAAATTTTTCTGTTTTTGATTCTTTTGAACCCCTAAATATTTTGCGATCATATATAGATGCAAGAGTCCCTCTGTAATTTAGACTCATCTATATGATTTGCTTGTCTACGATATTTGGCTACATTCGTCATTGAAGTCAGCATAAAAAAGCCAGAAGTTCGCCTTTTGTGTATTTCGGATTTCGCCTTTAAGTTATTTTCAGCGTTTCGGTAGAACGAAAATATTGGTAATTTTTCGCACAAAATTAGTGGTGCATTCTACCTTTATTTCGTGTCCTTTCGTTTCTTTTTGTGACCTTTATAACGGATGCAAAATTAGGAAAATTTTTAATTGTTGGTCAATCTCTAAATATATTGAGGATATCTTTAAAAAGAATAGGTCTAGCACTTCTGAGCCTAACCCTACGCTTATACATTTTTTTTTGGAGGATCGGAAGATGAGGTAAAAAATATTACAAAATGTACACTTCAATATTATAAGTCAAATTGAAAAAATCGCATGCGATAAAAAATATGAGAAAATAAAAAAAAAATCACAAAATGCTACAAAATCTATATTAACATCATTATTGGCATCTTTTTATGCGATTTTTTGAAATTTTATACTTTTATGCCAAGAGGGCATTCTGAATTGACATAATTTGTCAAAATCGGTCCAGCCACTTTTGGAGATATAAGCATTCTAGCTAGCCTCCCCTTCCTTTGTATATACACATTGCATATATTTCGTTATTTATATCCGATATATTTACTATTGGCCTCTACGTTATGGTTGGAATTGACCTTTTCGTCTATTTGTGATTTCGCCGGGATTAAAAATATTCGCGGTTAAATGGAAAATTAAAGTTTTATTAAACACAAATGTTATGGTCTATTTCACCCACTAAATATATCCCGATGACCATCCAAATTAAAAGGCTTCTGCCCAGCCCTAAGCTCTAGCCCCATGCTAATTTCCGCGTCGATTAGTCAAAGCAATAGGCTTCTACCATAACCCCACCTCCATTTTCAATTTCGTGAGGATCGGACCATAATTGCGACCTGTATCGTGATTACAAATGAACGTGGACAGACGGACATACATGGTTAGATCGATTCAGCTCGTCGAGAAAGGAAGATCCATATATACTTTCCTATGTGAGAAACCATTATTTCGAGGTGTTACATAATTATTGGCCCAATCAATCATTCCGTTTGTAACTCCTCGAAATACTCATGTCAGACCCAACAAAGTTTATATATTCTTGATCAGCGTAAAATTCTAAGTCGATTTAGCTATGTCCGTCTGTCTGTCTGTTGTAATTACGCTATCTTTCGAATGAATTGAGATAGATGGCTAAAATTTTGCACACATGTTTCTTTTTCCAGTAGCCATGTAGGTCCACGTTTTCGTATAGCCCCCATATAACGGTACCTCCCTATATTCGGTATTTTGATGATTTTAGCGACATTATTCACCGAAATTGTTTCAAATTTGGTATTTGAAGTTCCAAATGGATACTACACCCTAAGATAGATAATTGTATGTGCAAGTCCATGTCTTCATATAGCCCCCATATAACGGTACTTCCCGATATTCGGTATTTTTATGATTTTAGCGACCTCTTTCCCGGAAGTAATTTAAAATTTGGTATTTAAAGTTCAAAATGGATACTACAACCTAAGACAGAAAATTATCTGTGCAGGCCCACGTCTTCGTATAGCCCCCATATAACGGTACCTCCCTATATTCGGTATTTTTATGATTTTGCGACATTATTCACCGGAATTGTTTCAAAATTAGTATTTGAAGTTGGTTATGGGCACTACAGTCTGTGACAGAAAATTGTCTGTGCGGGTCCAGGTCTTCGTATAGGCCCCATATATCAATACCTCCCCATATTCGGTATTTTGACGATTTTAGGTACAATACCCACCGAAATTGTTTGACATGTGGTATTTGAAGTTCGTAATGGATGCTACAGCCTGTGACAGAAAATTGTCTATGCTGGTCCAGGTCTTTGCACAGCTCCAATTTAACGGCACCTCATGATTTTAGCTACATTATTCACCGTTTATTTCAAGTTTCGAATTTGAATATGGTAATGGCTTATGACAAACAATGCCTATGTATGTCTACGTCTTATAGACCCCAATATAACGGCTATATTCGGTATTTTTAAAATTTTAACAGAATTTTTTAAGGATTTTTTTCTTTGAAATTTTCCAAATTCGTTGCAAATAGTGGAGGGTATTAAAAGTTCGGCCCGGCCGAACTTACTGCTTTTTAACTTGTTCTTTACTGGTTTATGATTATAAAATACTTCTTAAAGCATCAAAACACTCAAAATCTTAACATACTTTTATGTTGCGGCTATGGGGAACCAACAGTTAACAGTTAACCAATTAGCAGTTATAGAAAGTGTAACAATAACAAGCAGAAGGACGAATGTTTAGTGGCAGTATTAAACATAAACACATATCATCCTAGGATTATTGTATAAAGTTTTTAGAATGCATGAGGTTGATAAAAAAAAAACTTACAACATGGTCTTTTAAAAGTTACGAATTCAAATTACTTTTGTTTTGGAAAATGTTGATAAGACCTTTAAATAATACTGATAATTGAGGTTGGAAAATGTAATGGAATACGACGATATAAAGATAAAGAGGTATTGGTGTATAGGTAATAAATCATAAATTGGATTTTTTTTTTTTTTGACGGTGGATTTATAAGCTCGAAAATGCTGTTGATTCCTTCCAAATCCCTGAAATCGGCAAGTTATATGGGTATAAACAGTATTAAAGGACTAGATTTAACTGTACTAAAATCATCAAATTCCAAAGTAGAGTACATTTGGCATTGAAGAATATTAGAAGATAATATTATATGATACCTATATATAAATGAGGACAAATATATATCTTTATACCCTACAACACTATGTGTTGATTGGGCGAACAATTATGTAACACCGCGAAATATTGGTTTCCCACATAGGAAAGTATATATGGATCTTCCTATCTCGCCGAGCTGAGTCGATCTAGCTATGTATGTCCGTCCGTCCGTCTGTCCGTCTGTCCATGTTAATTTGTAATCACTCTACAGGTCGCAATTATGGCCCGATCTTCACGAAATTTAGAATAGGGGTGGGGCTAGGGTCAGTATAGAACCCTATTTCTTTAGGAGATGATCGCATAATATTTAGTTGAAATGGACCAAAAACTGAAAAAATTCCTGATTTTGCAGTTGCTCTACAGGTTGCAATTATAGACAGAAAGTTAGCATGGGGTAAGAGCTTAGGGCTGGGCAGAAGCCTTCCAATTTTGATGGTCATCGGGTAATATTTAGAGGGTGAAATAGGCACAACATTTGTGTTAAATAAAAATCAAATTTTACATTTAACCGCGAATATTTTTAATCCCGGCCAAATCACAAATAGACGAACAGGTCAATTCTGACCGTTACATAGATGCTGATAGTAAACATATCGGTTATATACATCGAAATATATACAATGTGTATATACAAAGGAAGGGGATGTTAGTTAGAATGCTAATATCTCAAGAATGGCTGGACCGATTTTGACATATTTTGTCATTTCAGAATGCTCTCTTGACATAAAAGTATAAAATCTAAAAAAATCGCAGAAAAATATGCCAATAATGATGTTAATATAGATTTTGTAGTATTTTGTGAAATATTTTTATTTTTTCATAATTTTTATCGCATGCTATTTTTTCAATTTGACTTTTAATATTTTGTAATATTTTTTCACCTTACAACACAGTTGGGGGATATTATATAAGTATTGCAAATATCGTCCGATCCCCCCGAAAATTTTCACAAGTGTAGGGTTGGGTTCAGAAGGCCTAGGCCTATTGTTTTCAAAGATGTTCGCAATATGTTAGGGGGTTGAAATGGACCAACAACTAAACATTTTTCTGATTTTGCAGCCGTTATAAAGGTCACAAATGGAAACCAAAGGACACGAAATCTCGCATAAAGTTAGAGTTTAGGACAGCGGGTACAATGGACCACAAATTTTGTGTGAAAAAATACCAGCATTACTTACAGGCGATATCCGAAATACACAAAAGGCGAACTTTTGGCTTTTTTATGCTGATTTCGTTGCCGAATATAGCCAAATATCATAGACAAGCAAATCATATAGATGAGTCTAAATTTGAAGATACAGAGGGGCTTTTTGCTTTTGGAGATGCTTGAAGCCAATCCACACGCCTGTGAAGAGAGTTAAGGACAGGGAAGAATTCTATCATTTTGGATGACCATTGGATTATATTTAGCTGTAAAATGGACTACAACAACTAACAGCCCGACGGAGTGCATAAATGTAGGGCAAATGTCCCTACTCAAAATCCTAATTTCAAAAGCGAAATCTTCCAATATGGATTTGAGCATAAGGGGGCTTCTAACATATTGTAGTGTTGTAGGGTATAACATAGTCGGCCCCATGGTACAATGATATAAAGGTAGGACTATGATACCATATGATTTTAATTTTTTTTATTTTCTTGGCTTAATATGTTATATTAACCTTGTCATTCTGTGTGTAACATCCCTAACTATTCATGATAAACCCCATAAAGTACATATATTCATAATCAGCATAACATGCTAAGTCGATTTAACGATGTCCCTATCTCTGTCTGCAAAAATCACGACACAGCCAACATTCGTAGACGTAGACCTTCAAAATTTGGCAGGACAATTTGTATTGTGTCTAGGATGGTTGGTATTGAAAATGACGTTTTGCTATAGCTCCATATAACGGTACCTCTCGATATTCGGTATTTTGATGATTTTCGCCACATTTTTTCACGGATTTGTCTAAAAATTTGTATTTGTAGGTCATAATAGGTTCTAGCTCGTGTGGCGAAAAATTGTATGTATAGGTTCACGTTTTGGCATAGCCTCCATATAAAGGTACCTTACGATATTCGGTTTTTTATGATTTTTGCCACATTTTTTTTTATTTGTAGGTTATTATGGTATTTGTAGGTTATTATGGGTACTAGCTTGTGTGGAGAAACATTGTATATATGGGTCCACGTTTTGGTACAGCCCCCATATATCAGTACCTCCCGATATTCGGTATTTTGATGATTTTTTTGCCAAATTTTTTATGGATTTGTCTAAAAATTGATATTTGTAGGGTATGATGGGTTCTAGCTCGTATAGCGAAACATTATATGCATAGGTCTACGTTTTGGTATAGCCCCTATACAAGGGCATTTTGATGATTTCGCCATATTTTTTCATGGATTTGTCTAAAAATTAGTATTTTTGGGTCATAATGGGTTCTAGCTCCGGTAGCGAAACATTGTATGTATAGGTCCACGTTTTCGTATAGCCCCCATATAACGGTACCTGCCGATAACGATACCCACCGATATTCGTATTTTAGAAGATTTGATAGATGGCAATCCTTAAAGTATAAAATTGTCGATAAAGGTTCCCGTTTTGGTTTGGCTCCAAATAACGGACTCACTGATTTGATGGTTTTTTGATAAGTTTAACAGCATTATGCGAAAGAGCATACTGGTATATGAAGTTTAAAGAGAAACACGCTTCAATTGAGATAATTTTATATAAAAATTTTTCCTTTACCCTAAAAGTTCGTTTAGTTCGTTTTAAAAGTTTTTAGATCAACAAACGACATCCACTTTGTTTTTTTTTTTAAATATATTGCAACCCTTCAACGAAGCATGATTGTAAAATCCCAAAATATTGTCTTTGTTTTAGAAGATTGAATGTCTCTCTTTCCAACACAACCTAATATTCTTTTAAATAAAAATACTAAATCTTATATTCATGTTTAACTTACTCATTCTTTTGCAGATTTAAAAAGGTCAGGGAATCGCCATAACCAGTGAAGGCATCATCACTTATAACGCTAATATTATTATTTCTCAAATCCAAATGGCGTAGACGATGCAACGGCCTCAGTGCCTCACTGGGTATGGCTTGCAAATTGTTATCACCCAAACGGAGATATTGAAGATTTTCTGAAATAGAAATTGCAACAGCATTTTAAGAACAACTCTTGAAATAAGAATAGATTGTTGTTTCAGATCATAAAAACCTTCCAATCCCTTAAAAGCGTCCTTGTCAATGCTGGAAATTTTATTGCCTTCCAATTCCAAAGAATTTAGCAAACCGAGATGAGAGAAAACATTGGCTGGTACCGAAGTAATCATGTTGTGGGCCAAAATCAAGGAGTCCAAACTTTCAAGACCTTGGAAATAGAGAAATATTAAAAATTTTCGAATATGATTCAGACATTTTAATATTTACCGGCGAAATCGCCTTCCCGAATGATTTTGATTTTATTTTCTTGAATTTCCAATTTCTTAAGGTTGTCTAGGATTGAAAGTGCCTGTTGTGGCACCATGGTCAATTCATTGCCACCCAAATTTAAACGTTTGAGTTTCCTGAAATTTTAGAGATTTTCATAATTTTGTTTAGTTGTTTTAGTGGTAGTACTTACTTTTCTAAGCCCCGGAAAGCTTCTGGTTCCACATTGTTGATCTTGTTCTCATACAATGTCAGAATTTCCAATGTATCCAAACCCTCAAATGCATTGTTATGAATCACCGTTATTTTGTTGTGATTCAAATTCAAAATTAAAAGATGATAAAGATGTTTCAAGGCCGTCGAGGGCACCGTTTTCATTTGATTGAGAGAAACATCCAGTTGAGTGAGACCCTTACCTAGAAAGAGCAACAAAGAATAAATTGAAAGAAATTGAATCTTTATACACGACCAAGAGAGAACTTTTGAAGACGATCAGAAGAAAGTCAGTAAAGGCGAGTCTTTAAAGACTGTCTAAGAGAAGATTTTAAATAACGCTTAATATAGCTTAATAGATCAAGTGAGCCAAAGCTTTATAGACCATCAAAACCGGATAGTGTTTAATATAAATATAAGATTGTCATTAACGACAAGCGGACAACGTCTTTATAGACGAAGAGAAGAAAAAATTTTACACGACCGTAAGGGCGTCTTTATTGATGACCAGAAGGGCATCTTTATACACGAGCGGAAGGGGAAATTTATACACGACCAGAAAGGTATCTTTATAGACGAAGGGAATCTTTATAGACAAGCGGAAGGACGTCTTTATAGACGACCAGAATGACGTCATTATAGAAGAACAGAAGGACGCCTTTATAGGAAGAATGTATCTATAGACGACCAATTTTTCAAAATAAAAAAAAAAAAAAAAAAAAAAAACCAAAAAAAAAAAAAAAAAAAAAAAAACAGACATAATTCCGACTTCAAAAAAAAAAAAAAAAATTTGGGCAATTTCAAAAAAATTAAATTTGTTAAAAATTCTGTTAAAATCTTAAAAATACCGATTGTAGCCGTATATTAGGGTCTATACGACGACGTGGACCTGCATAGGCAACTTTTGTCATAAGTTATTGCAATATTCAAATGCGAAACTTGAGAAAAATCTGTTTATAATGTAGCTAAAATCATAAAAATACCTAATATTTGCAGGTACTCCCATGGTAAAACGAGGACCTGCACAGACAATTTTCTGGCATAGGATGTAGTATCCATTACAAACTTCAAATACGAAAATTGAAAAAACTACCGGTAAATAATGTCGCTAACATCATCAAAATACCGAATATCAGGGGTACCGTTATATGGGGGCTATACGAAGACGTGGACCTGCACAGACAATTTTCTGGCATGGGCTGAAGTATACATTACGAACTTCACATGGAAATTTAAAAAATTCCCGGTAAATAATGTCGCTAAAATCATCAAAATACCGAATATCGGGGGTACGGTATATGGGGGCTATACGAAGACGTGGACCTACACAATTTTCTGTCATAAGCTGTAGTATTCATTACGAACTTCAAATACCAACTTTGAAATAGTTCCGGTAAATAATGTCGCTAAAATCATCAAAATGCCGAATATGGGGGGTAACGTTATTTGGACGTATAAGTCTACACACAAATATATATTTTTTATATGTCACTACTTACCCAAAGAGCTGAGAGAATTCTCCTCGATGGCTGCCAAACTGCTGTTGTGAATAGTCAAATGACGAATGTCCAATGCCAGAAACAGGAAACCCTGAAGTTTCGGCAAATTGTTGTGGCGCAATTTCAAATAGAAGATGATGGGACTTTTGCCCTTCAGAGTACTCATCGATTTGGTGATGTGAGACAGATCGGTGGTTTCACACAGGATATCCAGGCCATTCTTCTTCACGCTACAGACACAAGGAGCAATTTCATTGTGCTCGGGACAAACTTGCTGTGGCGTCTGATTGCCCTGAGCTGCTGCCGGTTGCCAGCTCAGGAGGGTGAATGATGTCAACAACAATACCAGAACAATGGTGTTGGTTGTGAGAAATTTTGTTGTCATCGTCGATGTTGATGAAGAGGATGATGATGACGGCGATGTCGCACGCGAACGAGCTAAGCTGATTAATGGCATTTTGTAAACTGAATCAACGCTGAATGATGTCTATGATGTCGGGGTGAGAACAACTTGCCACAAATGTTACTAGTCTCCGTTTCGCTTAGATTTGTTGTCGTCGTTGTAGCAGCAGTGTCTCTACTCAGCTCTTTTAGGGAATGGATCTTCTCTTTGGAATGTTTCTCTTGTATTTTGTGTTGCTTTTCTTTCTTCGTTTGCTAATCCAAAAGCTTTGGACTTGTTTGTTTATTGGATTCTATTAAAATCTTTGTTAAATGAACGATGACTGACTGACCTGACCAACGACAGACAGCTTTGGGGTGAGCATCGGAATCGGTGCGCCATAGAAAGAGATAAAACAGAAAAGGAGAGAGAGAGAAAATTAGATTAATTTATTGTTTGTTTTATGTATTTTGCTGGAATATATATATGCCGGGGTTTGAATGTAGCTTGTATTTGAAAATAAAGCACAGTTTTGTTATAATTAAAAAGCATTAACAACAATAGGCTGTTTTTGTCTGTCACCTGGCCTACACCACCAGTACCTTAGCATTTATTTGATTCACCTTAGCTTTTATTCTATTGATTCACTTTTCTTTTATCCAACACTGCGAATTTGTGTAATTTTAACATCGACTAAAATGTTATACCAAAGAATCCTATTATTTCATTGAGAAACATTTATATTTTCGTTATATTATTGCCCCTCGATTTGGAAGTATATATATGAACTTAGTAATTCTGACTTAACTCGTTAATCCGGTTAATCGTTCTGCATGACTGAAGTTGGCATCAGATGGAAGGATTGCTATCTACAGTATAACTGTGAAAGATCTTGTAGACATTTCATAAATACAGAAGGAAATGAAAGCTCTTCAACCTGTAAAACTTTTACTAAAAGACATCCTGCAATGTGGCAACTCTTTTCTTCACTAAAAGCTCTTTGTCATAAGCTATTGCAATATTCAAATGCGAAATTTGAAAAAAATCTGATTATAATGTAGCTAAAATCATCAGAATACCGAAATTAGGGAGGCACCATGCGGGTTATAAAACGTGGGCTGTAGTATCCATTACGAACTTCGAATACAAAATTTGAACTAATTCCGGTAAATAATGTTGCTAACATCATCGAAATACCGAATATCGGGGGGTACCGTTATATGGGGCTATACGAAGACGTAGACCTACATGACCCATTTTAAATACCAAAAGTCCTGCAGATATAATACACATTTGAGTAAATTTGTATCAATTTACTTCATTTCGTTCGGAAGGTAGAGTGATTTCTACAGACGGACAGACGGGTAGACGGACGGACATTGCTAAATCGACATAGAATTTTATGCTAATCAATATGTTACAAACGGAATGACAAATTTAATATACCCCCCATACTATGGTGGAGGGTATAAAAATCTCATGCGATCAAAATGCGGTGAGCCGATATCTACCAAATTCACACCATATCATGCGTTAGTAAAGATATTGGGATGTGTGAACTTTGAAGATATTCAAATGTTTATTTCGTATTTTATGGGCGTTTTGTTATTGTTGTTGAAATGTTGACCCTTAGGCTGTAATATATATTACGAACTTCAAATACCAATTTTGAAATAATTCCGGTAAAAAAATGTCGCTAAAATCATCAAAATACCGCAAAGGACCAAAAGTCCTGCAGACATAATACACATTTGAGTAAAATTTTATCAATTTATTTCATTTCGTTCGGAAGCTAGAGTGATTTCCACAGACTGACAGATGGATAGACGGACGGACATTGCTAAATCGATGTAGAATCAAGGTGATTACAAACGGAATGACAAATTTAATACACCCTCCATACTATGGTGGAGGGTATAAAAATCTTATGCGATCAAAATGCGGTGAAAAATTTGGACCCTTTGTAGGGGAGATACCATAAGGAGTAGGTGGATGAATCCCATCTTTAACCAGCCCCTGTGTTTGTAGAAATATTAAGAAGTTTGAAAAGAATCGGATGCTCGTTTCACCTTTTATGAGCGTCATGGTTATTCAAAAATGTTGACCCCTTGTGGGGAATGTACCAGAAGGAGTGGTCAGATATATTTAGTCTGCATGCAAGATCTTGTGTTGGCAAATGTATTGAGATGTGGGAAAATTCAGTATTATAGGACTCTTATTTCACATTTCATTAGAGTTATAATTATTCAAAATGCTTACCCTTTGTGGGGAAGGTACTTGATGGAGTGAGCCAATATATTTCACTTTCGTTCCTGAACTAACTCTGATAAAACTATTGCTCAAAAGTTTGCTCAAAATTCTGCGATCCTTTCTCGTTCTATAAGGTAAATTAGTTTATGTAAAAATGCTGAACTTTTGTGAGGGGTGGTACCAGAAGGAGTGAACCAGTATTGTATATCTCCGATCTCGATGTAGTTTTAGTAATAACCCCTAGATCGACTTTAAATATCTTGAAACGGATTTGGTCCAAACTCACCTAGAAACATTATTTCCATGAGGAACGTTTTGATTGTATCAAATTATGTATACCCTCCGTAGCCCTAGTTTAAGTAGTTTAAAAGTAGTAGTTTAAAAATAGACCGCTATCGTAGGGCTAAATCTAATATATTTAATGTATTTTTAATTATCATTGTCGATCCACAGCGTGTCTGTAAATGATCAGAAATGAAATCCAAAACACATGTTAAGTCATGATGTCCTTTGAATTTAGCTACAAAAATTACAGAATACAAAATCTCTGTTCTGACTCCAGATGGGCGTTTTTGCTTAACCCACTTTAAATGGGATACTTATGTATAATATCTGGCAAAATATTGGGTAATTCATGTATCTCTCCCTTGTTATCATGTTAATAACACACCCACATGTTAATATCTGTTGTTATTTATTCCTCTTCACCTTTAAATTGCTACTTAAACTTTTTCCATGTTGGCCCCCCAATTTTCTTTTCACTGTGCAAAGCTCATAAAGAACGAATGAATGAATGACTGGGGCATATCCAAAGCAGAAGAAGCTAAAGAAAACATCCAACAGATGACTACAAAACGTGCTTTGTTTACGCTGTTGAGCGGATGGATGGGTGGTTGGCGGTAAGCTGGCTGGTTGGTTATTGCCACGAATAATGATGCTGCTTGCTGCTGAACGGAGGAAGTAGGAGGAAGGGGGTCTGACTCAAAAAGAGATAAATAAATGAACGTTTTTGCATTCTGTGAATGGAGATGAATTTATGCGACTTGCGATTCATCATTTGCGTATTTCTCACACGTTTCTACAGCTATTTGTAACGATTGCTCGTTAGTGTGTTTGAGCGTGTTTGTATGGGTATTCTGTGCTTGCTGTTGGGCTCAAGCGGAATTTAAATTGATCCAATAAAGAGAAGTGCCATAATACGCCACAGTGGCAGGGTAAATGGATACTTTTTTTCTTCAAATCTGCATCATTTGATTTGGCGCTGTTTTTGTTTGGACTTAACTAAATTATAAATTTATGAATTGTCTGATTTTTTCCCTTTTTTGCATGCTTTACAAATGGGGTGTGAGTTGACGGGGGGTTCCTTCACCACCGCAAAAAATGTAAAATGCACTGAAAGTGCATTTATAAATAGATTTTATTTAATGTTGCCTAAATTGCATTACTATTTATTAGTTCCACTATAAAGTGGGATAGAAAAGTTGATGGTGGGGGAGAAATATTATAACAATTTGCAAGATATTTTTTTTAAATGTTGGATACTGAGCAGTTTATTGAAATTCTATAATTCTATGAAATTAATCTGAAGTTTGCAATTTTTGAACGATTCAGCCCATCAAGAGGAGATTTAACTTATCTTCATAAAATAAATTTTTGAGATGGGCTTATGGGAAATAATTAGCTGAGAGAGAAAAAAAAAAAAAAACAAGTAAGCAAAGGCTACAGTCGAGCGGGGCCGACCGTTAAATACCCTACAACACTATAATAAACGATACAGTTTATATAGGAGAGATACTCGAAAGAATTCCACAAGATATTGTGACAAATAATAAAAGAAAACCATCAGGTGTCGTTCTCTAATTTTCGAATAATAGCAACTTAAACTAATTTGCTAATTTCCAATTTATTGGCAGATGTTGCATGTAAATGGAACCAATATTTCCCAAAGACCTATAATCTCTCAGAAGTGACAAAAGATTAACATTTATTATTGGTTTTTGACTGAAACGCATCTATATAAGATACAGACATTTGATATTATTCTTCAACGAAATCAGCCTTAATGAAATAGTCAGAAGTGCGTCTTTCCTGTATTTGTGAATTCTCCAAAAAGTCACTGTTATGAAAATTTTCGTATTTTGTCTACAAAAGTTGGCAAACTATTTCACACATTGAATATTTTTGGATGGCCATCCAAAACTGCTTGGCTTTTGCAATGTCCGGTAACCCCCATTCAAATGTGCGTGAGGATCGGACGATAATTACGACCTGCTGACAATTTCGCAGTTTTTTTGGTCCATTTCAACCCCTAAATATATGGCGATCATCTCCAAAAAGAGTAGGCTTCTATTCTGACCCTCAGCTTATCCCCATGTAAAATTTCGTAAGGATCGGGCCAATAAATGCCCTGTATATGATATCCTGATATCCTAACTACTTAGTTTTGTTAGCTGTAGAAATATTACCAAATGTTTAATTCAAAATGAAAATATGCCAAAAATATGACAAAATTGAAAAAATATGAGAAAATTTTACAAAATCAATATTTTCATCTTTAGAGAGATATTTTTATGCGATTTTTTTAGACGTTTTTTCTTTCCTGCCAAGAGGCCATTCTGAATTAATGAGAACTGTCGAAATCAGTTCAGCCGTTCTCGACATATAAGAGATTTTTCAAGCATATCTTCTTTGATAAACATATATATCGCACATATTTTGCTATATATCCGATTTGTTGGATGTTAACATCAATGTAAAGGTCAGAAGTAACCTTGTCATGGCTTTGTGATTTCGCCGGGATTTAAAATATTCGCGGTTTAATGAAAAATTTTGAATTTTTTTCAACAAAAAATATATGGTCTATTTTACCCGCTAAATATTATCCGATGACCACCCAAATGGGTAGGCTTCTTGCCAGCCCTAAACTCTAGCTGCATGCGAAATTCCGATTGGTCGATTGGTCTATAATTGCGACCTGTAGAGTAAGTGCAAAATCAGGAATTTTTTCAGTATTTGGTCCATTTCAACCCCTAAATATTATGCGATCATCACCAAAAGCCCCACCTCCATTTTAAATTTCGTGAAGATCGGACCATAATTGCGACCTGTAGAGTGATTACA